TAAGTTGATTGATCAGCGCACTCCCGTGGAATGACTACACATTTGAGCTGCCCAAGTTTGTCTCCAATTTTCAAACTATTCTATCGCTAAAACATTACATTTCTTAATGAACTAACTACTTGTGCTGCAGACAGAAAAACAAACCGATGACAATTATATTTTGAAAACATAAAATGGTTGAAAAAAGTGCTACTTAAAACTAAATTTAATCTGTTTTCGCAATACTATTAGTTCACTACTCATGAACACCTTACCGCCTGTTTGGATTTCCGCTTCAATATATGTTTCCCTGCAGGGAAACGTTGCACATACACGGCGGCCGTTTCTCTCCGCCTCAGATAAAACGGCTAGGTCCAACTATCTAGTTATTGCCAAAGTCCCCACCGAGTCTACAATGAGGACTGGTATAACAAGTTTGGTATAAGGTAGAGAGTGGATTCTATTGCATCCATCACCTGTTCTCCGGATTACCTGCACATCTACTAAACCATCAGGTTTTAGAAATTTACTCCTGAAAATTTGTCAAACGGCACCGATACTCAACATTTCGCTGTTTGCCGTTCGCTTGCTCACCTTGGATGCGTTATCCTCACTAACCGAAAATACTTTTTCCTTTTTAAATAAAAAGAAAGATGCTGTCCTGGAGTGTCCCCTTGATTTCAGTGATGCTTTTAGTATAGATAGAAACGACTTCGTCTCTTTTTCTCTCTCTCCCTCTGACAAGGTGTCTGTTACTATTTGACTAGTTCCTTGACCGACGACAATGTGTCAGTTATCTTGGACAGGTATTCACACTTCTCCTCTCAAGTTTTCTTTAATCTGAGCAAGCGGAATTTTCCCCAAAAAGTATAAGCGAGATTCATAAATATTCGGCCTGGATTTTCCCCACGGAGCAGGGACGTCAGTTGCACCACTAGCAATAAGTGAATTGCTGTGCCATCGTGCTTGAATTGGCATCACTATTTCCCAGTTTCTCGATTTGATTGGTCCGGAACTCGCTGGACACGGCATCTTCATACATAACGAGAAATCATTGACTCCTCACATACACACACATACATACACGCGCATTTCCACAGACGTTTTTTATGCCTCTATAAACTGACGTTTTTTCTGAAAGTTCTGAATCAGCGCACCCAATCAAATCGAAAATCCGCGTAAAGCCTTGTTACAGTCTACCGTATGGAGCAAACACGACAGATGTCGGCACTGGGTCATCAGTTTACCCACCATCCTGATGCTTCTAGGGCGCTTGGCTCACTTGGACTGTTTAGTTAAGCACGTGCACAGAAAAAGCTACTCGTTGAGATTTTTTTTTTGTTTGAATGATTTTCTGCCCTCCAAATCTGTTTCAACCTGCATTCCGGGTAAAATGATGCCAATGAACTTTTCAGTTAACATCTTTTTATCCGCTTTGTCAAAATCCTTCTCTTTCTGTTGACATGTATCCTTTTTTTTACCCCTGAATGATTGCTCTCCTACCTTATTCTTAACGATCTTGCAAGGTATCATTGATCCCACGCGTCTGCCCGCGATTTTGTATCCGTTCTGAAAATATCGTTTTCTGATGAAAACACTCTCTTCTGTGACGCTTTTCTTGCGTTTTTTATATGATTATGTCGTTTCTCCTAAATTATCGAGATCATTTGATTCCACATTTTTTATAACACATTTGTGTGATGAACAACAGACAGGGTGGATCCCATAATCGTGAAGACCTGCTGTTCGGTGATAGAAACCAACAACATAAGCCTTGGAGTGGTGAACCAAACGAGGCCCCGCTAGTTTAGATGTGGTAACTGTTCTGAATTTTCCGCTTTTCCCAACGTAGTCTGTTGTTCTGTTTTCGCACGAAATAGTTGTGCTTCATTAACCAACTGAAAAACTGGTCTACTACACTGGGTACAGTCAAACGGAAACAGGTGGGTGCCAGTAGTTATGCAATGAGGACCAGAAGTAGCTTTAAAATGTGGCCAGAATTGGGCTCCATGTNCAGGTGTGCTTGCCTGTTACTTACTTATCCCTCTCTCTGGCGCTTGGTCTGTTAGCTTCGCTTAGATCAGGAACAACGGGAAATCGTGGTCACTGTTTCGGTCAAACGTATGACGTTTTCTTCGGGTTCACTCCTATCCCTGAAGAATGACCTTAAACAAATCCGTATCTGCAGATATGCCTGTTCGTCTATGTTTGTAACTTCCGAAAACGTTGCAGGATTACAGACGATGTTGATGAATCACAACTAGTCTGCAGTCTCATTCTTGTTTTTGCATGTTTATCCTTGTAGGTCCATTTCTGTCTGTGTGTGTGTGCATCTGTTGGAGGGAATGACTCCTTGGATGATACTGTACAACGTAACCTGTTTCTATGCCACAGTTTGAGGTCAACAACATTCGACAATTTGACTATGTTTGGCATTTTCGCGCCTGAGTTGTTCCGCACATGGTTTTGTTGTGTTTTGTTTTTAACGTGCGATGACCCATCTCACCGTGGAATACGTTTCGTGTGTCCATCAAGCGCTCCTTTCTTAGGTCAGTTCCATGTGTTACCCCCTCGCACACATACATTCCTCATTCGGATCAAACCACGAACACTCTAGACGGAGCCATTACGCATTATTATGTTCCATATATACGTGTCGTTACGCCCCAGAACTGACTGAACGAAAGTTTTCCTATACAAGCAGAAAATTGCTAAGTGTTCCGTTCAATCTATACCTTTTGCAAGTCAAGTTGTCCCAATATCATATCAAGATGTCCTCGGATTATTTCAAGATGTCTGGGAATCATTTCAAGTTGACTGGTCATTATTTCAAGATGTCCCAGTATTATTTCAAGATGTCCTCGGATTATTTCCAGTTGTCGCATTGACCTCACCGGTGCTGAAATGATTCCCGGACATCTTGAAATAATCCGGGGACATTTTGAAATGATACTGGGACAACTTTAAATAATCGCCAGACATCTTAAAATAATGATCAGTCAACTTGAAATGATTTCCGGACATCTTGATACGATACTGGGACAACTTGACTTGCAAAAGGTATAGTAATCTCCCCCCCCTTTCAGATTGATTCTAAATTAAAATTGTCTTAACATTTGTTGACTTCAGACTTGCTGAACATTGCTGAAAGAACTGCTGTGACTGTATGTACCGTCTTCAGAATCCTAGGTTAATGGGATAAAGTTCATTTATCTAGGCAAATCAACGATTATCTATCCTGGTTCTTTACAGTTCATTATCCCATTACCGTACACATTTTAACATTCCACCAGGTCTTCGCCGGTTTTGCTACCGATCACTTTGACCTTCATCCACTTTGTCCGTGTGATCCAACAGCCTGTCTAATGTTTATGCACACACACAGAGGGATCCACTGACATTGCATAACAACTGATCTTGTTTCTTTGATATGCGTGCGTCGTAAAATGTGTGCTGTGTGGTTGTCTACAAGAGGTCAACTCCCAACCCCCATCCGTGTACGTTTTGCATGCATATTCCTAATCTGTTTACATTAAAAGCAAGACAACAGCCATCCCAATTTTGAGTAAAAATACACCGATAGATTATTATTATTATTATTACTCTTATTATTATTATCATTATACTTGAATCTCCCAAACATTTTGCCTATGCTCATTTCTTGCCTCCGTAATAACAAATTGGTCCCTCATGTAGGTTCACATTTAACCGGAAATGAGGAAGAAATATCGGAATGAAATTAAAATTTTCTTTGAATCCCTCTCCGTTGTTTTACGTGTTTGTGTGTACAAGTGGATCACTTGAGTGGTTTGGTGTTTCCCACCCACCCACCATTCACACACAATTCGTTTTCTTGGATGAAAACCGGTATTTCCATGCGTTCCAATGAGTGCGCCTGCTGGGGATTTTTGGACTGATATCTCACTCACTTGACAGGTTATGGGTGGTTATCTCTGCGAAACTGCAGTCCATATGAATTAAAGTGCTCTAACTCCACAGGCCCCGAGTGGTATTTCCATATGAACTGACGACGGTTTCGTATCCTGTGCACGTCAAATCAGGTTGTCTGTCCAGATCAGCAGAATGTCTGTCATCCGGTTCACGGAATTCGCTTCAGAACAAATATTTAAATGGTCAACCGACTTGTCTACCAGAGATGTTGTTAGTTATCCAAATATGATTAATGAACGAGTAAAAGTGCACCTACCATGATATGCCAGTCAGTGTTTGTCTATTTCTTCTCCCCTCTTTTCTGAGTTTCCCACTCAACCAAACTATTTATTTTTCTGTCTAACAGAACCAGTCTCAGCAGATTAGTATTTAACTGGCGTGATGCGGAAAAGTATCTGACATTGCGTATCTACCCAAATAGAATACCAGAGATGAGGTAAATGCGTATCCTCTGCGGTTCGGTCGTTGACAGGAAGTGAATCGTTGATAAACCCAGAGTGAGCAATGGCAGACTGTCTTTTGAGCCTCTCTCTCGCTAGAATGATTGTCCTACCGACGTGAGAGAAGTCGTGAATACTTTTTGNATTATTCTGTACAGAAAGCCACAGAAGAGTTGCCCCTTTATTTTTTACTCGTTATCGAACCATAATTTAAACGCGGTACAATAGCACTAAATTGAAAGAAAAATGTATGCCTTCATCTTTACTGTGTAATCTATGTTGTCCTCCCTTCATCTCTATCTGCATACCGTATTTCAGTCGTATCTCCGTTATTCGTGGTACCGTACGCCAGTGGGATGGAACTGCGTTCTGGGGTTGTCGTGTATTCGATCGTCTCAAAGCGAAAACTGGTTATACTTTGACCGATGAACAGGGCAGGTTAGTCGCAACACACTCAGATTGGTTCCATCCGTTTCTCTTAACCAATTTATCCGTACAGTTTTGGGTCGTTTTTTCCATAAAGACGTGCAATCCTCTTAGTACCTCCTACGAAATATTCCTTCATTGTGATCCTTTTGACTTACCGGGTGCAATTGATATATCACTGATATACCCCTACCTTGGATCCTTATGCGAAGGTTCCATAAACCAGCTCTTATGCATTGAAAATATTCTGTCCATTTTATCCGGTTTAGAATCACCGACGTAAGACAACTGTTTTCAGATGCACGCATCCGATTCCCTGTTCTCAGCCGTTTACTTGAACTGTCTTGATGCAACTACTGTAACAAATATAGGATTAAAGATTAAAAATGCTCGTCTGGTATTTGGTAACCCGGTATTCTGAATAAACGAAGGACGAGAAGAGCTCAGTCAGCGTTTGCTCAATTCTTAGGCAGGGGAAACAAGCAGAGTCGAATTGTCTTGCGTACCCCGGGGGTAGTTTCTGTGACCAACAGAGTAGCAGCTTCACTTCACAGAACAACAACAATTTTGGATTATGATCACGTAAAAATGACTCGGAATCAGTTAGGTCAACCAGAAGAAGTGTTGTCATGGGTCGCACAGTGGTTTAGTCCCTATCACCGGCTTGCTTTCGACCCTATGGTTCGAACACCGCCACTGCCATCCAACATTGGTGGTAGGTAGCTTTACTGTTGTCGTGTTCACGCCTAACCTAGTGGGAACATATGTGGTTCACTACTCCAACTCCCGAGGCTTAGGTTACCGATTTCCATCATTGAACAACAAATCTTCGTGACTATGGGTTTCCCCTTGGAATGATGTTCGTCACACATAATGAGTGTAATACAGAAAACAATCCATAGAGCCTAACTTATTGGCTTTGCCGTAGTCGCTTAGGTGTGTTGCGTCACCGAGGGCTACAACCGCTACGCAACTCGTTAGGTTAGATACCACCCCGTTTTATCTTTGCGTGTACCACTTCGGCGACAAGTTAAATTGCACATACTGTATCAGTAAGACTATATTANCATGAGGACCGTGTCGCACGATCAATTTCTGTACCATCCCCTTACGCGCTCCGCTTCCCATTGTTCTCAAAGTGATTTCGCAAATGGATTTTGGTTTTCATCCTCAGGTTTGATTTGCCTGTGGATGGTGGTTCGATTGTGCAACTGGAATTCCTACGCTTTCCCACCGAACGATTTTCCGCCATACAGCCGGTATACGTGCCAGTGAATGAAATCATCAACTTGGGAGACTTTTATCTGCACGATTCCAGTCGGTCAGTATCCCTCCAGTTGGCGGTCGGTGGTTCTCTTGCCCCATCGCCCGTGTTTCACGATTTGTGGATCGCCGGTTTGTTGGCTTCCACCGGATTGAGTACACCAGATCCGAATGCAATGCCTGACACAGGATTGCCCAGCACGGAGTCGACTGGGAGCACTGAAATTGCACTGAAATGGGAACAGTCAGATGAGACATGCGCACAACATGATCTCACCTTGATCGGCGGTTTACCAGTGTGGGGCGATCAGATGTCCAACGGTGAAACGGTTTGTGTGGATCAGGAACAAACTATCTGTGTACAGAATGGAGTGCTTACCTATTCTATACCAATTCACGTGAGTTCCATCCCATTTATTCCCAGATGATATCAACAATAGCTACGACTTTTCCCAGATGTCCTATTACACTTTTGGTGGACTCGGTGCTCTTTAACCCTTATCGTTTGCTTCGAGATACTGGAAGTACCGCCAAAGTATCTTTAATAAATTAAATAATCCAAATTTCTCGTTCGATCTGTGACCTAGAATTGCAGTTCAGCACAGAACGGAGATTGGAATACTTGGATCAATACACAGACACGGTGAATCCCCATAAACTGAACAAGAACATGTTCAGTTGAAAAGCCACCCTGGACTGAAATTCCGGGACCTAATACCCGACTACTTCCACTTCGTTCATCATTGTTACCAATGTGTCTGTTTGTATACATGTGTGAAGTTTTGAGTTTCACCTGGCCATCCTCCATGTGTCGATCGGTATTTACAAATACACGCATGAAACAGCTGCGCACGTTACCAAGTCTTTTACGCTCCCCTGTGTATCATCATCAAATCCTCTTTTTGCAATCAGTGCAACTCAATAGAACTCTGTACTAAATACAGTCCTTCCCGCTTTCTTCTCACTTCTGCTCTGCTCCGACAAGTCTGATTGTCATGTCCATGTACATGACAAATCTGCCTCGTGTTATACTCTCCCGGTAGCCACTTGGATACATTTTTTCCAACATGAATTGCCTCAGCATTGCTGTATGCGTTGTCAGTTGATTTTGTGCTGTAATAAATTGGGAGTGACCAACTCCTCGAAGTCGCGTGACAACTTCTCGATCAGAAACACCGAGATGTCCCCATTGTTCTATATCCCTAAAGAGAACTTCCCAATGCGCTCCCGCCCCGCCTCAAGATTTGCAAATGAAATATTTGTAAGTAAAAATTTCAAACTGGAGTCAGGATCTGAACAGAGTCATCAGTTTTCTAGACTGTCACCTCAGCTTGAACAACTCACGCAAATTTACCACCAGTGTTCACAAAAGCCGNTGAATAAACTTACCTTGTGAATCAGCTGATCCGCGATGTGTAAAACGAACTCTTATCTCCTCTCTGGCAGACAGAGTCAAAAAGCTTTATAATGAAGACAATAAACACCAAAAAGTGCTACAAGACAATAATTATCCGCAACTTCTGGTAAGATGCCAGCTAGAAGCGAACAAACCAGTGATATAACCTAATGACAAAAAGACCGTGTAGCCTCTATTGGCATTCCATATAGATCAGGCACTGCAGAAGCAATCAGAAAGATCTTCGGTGATTTCAACATGCATACTTTCTTTCGGGTTGACAACACTCTGAAACACCATCTCATGAAAGCCAAAGATCCGGTCGAATTGCAAGATCAAAACAACTGCATTCACAAAATCCGTTGTAAAGAATGCCCCGCAGAATACATTGGGTAGACTAGTAGACAACTTAAGACAAGAATAACCGAACACAGGAGAAAAGGAAAACATCGGCCTACAGACAAAACAACTCCGGCAAAACTGGAAAGAGACTCAGTGATCGCTCTTCACGCCATAGGCGAAGGTCACACTATAGACTACGACAACCCAAAAATACTTCAAATCGGATTTCAAAAATGCACTGAACGCTCGTATGCGGAAGCTTTGGGCATTAACAACCATTCTGCATGTGTCAACAGAAACGACGGAATCGGGATCCCGAGCATTCGGACTACCCTAACATCCCTAACGCGTAATCACGGTAAAGGTCACGGTGCCACTTGACCCCATCTGATAATGGGAGTTAGTATGATAGACAACGAATCATTCAGTCCACCACACACATAAACACACGAAATATCCGTTAACTTGTGATTCTTTCTTCTGAGTCATTTGATTATAAAACCTGCCTTGAGAAAGGTTACTCACGACTACCGAAACGTCGGCGAATATAATTCTCTACGGACATCGCTGTTATTAACACTATAACATTCACAGTAAAATAAACATCCTGGGAACAATTATGAAAACAGACGAATATTCGAGTATCCAGTACGCCAACACGAAACGGACCTTATACTTACATAAGATGATTTAACTGCTCAGATTCAGCTTATTGAAAATACTCCGATAATTCCATGTATGTAAAAAATGTGACACGAAACGTACCTGATGCAAATGAAAACGGTGCATCTTCTTTACCCCTCCTCGTCCCCCGTCCAATGTCGTCCTTCTAGTGGTTCTGCTATTGTACCAACAGATGTTGCGATCTCGGCGAGCGCAAAACATGCCGACTGGCGCTTGCATACCCGTCCTGTTCTCTCGACCATGGATGGTGCTTGGAGTCGCTGCTTTTTATTTTATTTGTGTGTGTGCATTTGTTGACTGAAACCGTGTCCATATGCGTCCGGTCACGTTTAGTCAAATCGTGCCGAAGAACTGGACCGAACAGAGCAGATTGTTGTGTATCACAAGAAAAATCGCTCATCAGTTCACAACAAGTTTGCAATGAAATCCAGATCAGGCTTCCCAATATAACTCGGTTACTTGTGAGTAGTACTGTGGAGTGAGCGTTACTTGCTTTGACTTATCGTCGTTGAGACTTCATCCTCTCTAGTTGCTTGGATGAACAACGGATTGTGAGTGAATTTGGAGCTTGAAAAATGATCAGTCAATGTTAAATTTCGCAAACCATATCCCTATCACCATCCCGATGGACACGTCACTGGGATAAATGGTTCTAACATGCGGTATTTAGAAATGAGACGTTACAAAACGAAGGGAAAACTGGTGTTGTGTGGTGAAGAGGGGTCAGAAGAATTTGGGCTTAGAGTTTTATTCAACCGGTGGCATTTGATCATTGCGAATCACCTGTAGTAAGCGACTTTCGCAAATTCAAATCCACACTTTTTATCAGTAATCAGACTGAAATTTAACCTATTGCTTTTGCATTCCTCATGTATCACAGCTGCAGCTGGTAGCAAGATTAATAGTGCTGTAAATAGTGTTGACTTTTGACATTGTGTCATATCAGTTTGTGGTGTATTTCTCAAAGCCGAAATGGATTGAACAAATGGGTGATGCGATGACTTTACGACCCGTCGTGTTTGAGTTCAGACTTTGATAGATTTGGTATTACTAATTCCCCCGTGACCATTTTCATTTTTGTAAATCTGTTCTTCAATTCACACTTTGGTCTCTACGGGGCTGGAAAATTTGTGAACCACGAATTTGTCATAAATGTAAAACCGTTACTAACTGAGGAGGATTTTTGTTGACTCATCACTGCGATCCACTGGGACCACTCAGATCCTAAAATTCAATATTCACGAAGTTTACAACAATCACTCAAATGCAAATGCTTTTGCGTTGCCTCTCCTCTTAAATCTTTTTGAAGCAATTTTTGTTATTGTGGCTTTAGTTGATCAAAATTTCGTCACGTTTCCGTAACTCATTGGTGGACCACAATGCTGACAACGGGGTTGTTTTTATTTTGTCCTCCTGGTTGAAACTATGGTATCGTATGCGATTTAATGAGTTGGAGGAATTCGACACGCAAACAAGGCTAACTTTCAGTAGACAGTGCCTCAGGAGGTGAACCACATAATCAAGAGGATAATCCATTTAGTTTTGAGAACCGCCAACCGTTTTCCTGTAACTTGCAGTAATGAGCTGCGTGAGACCTCGAATATGATAGGCATTACTTTGTGTCAGAAGACGAGGAAGTGGGGTTTCAACGGTAGGGCTCGAAACTCGGACTTTGGAACCCGGAGCATGCGAGTGACATCAATTTATTGTATTTCACATACGTCTGAATCCAGGCTGTGCCAATCAAATCATAGTACAATAATCTTTATAAAAAAGAGAAAGTTCCACGATTTTTTGTGGACGGAATAATGATAGGTTACCAAGCCCAATTTTCTTTGGAAATTCACAACTTGAGCCTTTGACCAGCCAAATCCTGACCCACAAGGCAGCTGTGCAAAAGCCGCAATCCATTAGGGACCGATGTCCATTTCATCGGATCATACACTCTCTGGGGTCAAACGTCCAAAATGCCCAATAGACCTCGATGTTCATTCGAGCTGGTTTCGTACTCCACTTCTTGGTTGGTTTGAAATCAGGTGTGCTCGCCAACTCCCCAACCCGGTTATACCCCGGATGTTGGTAGTGAATAGGGCTTCCTCAGCAGAGGCTGTTGGAAACGCTTGATCGTATGGGTGCATTTCGTGAGGTGCAAGTGAGGGTAGACTGGCCACAACCCAGGACACCCACACCGACCATACTGAGGCTGGAGTGCAGTGCAACAGTTTTAAATATGGAGAAGGCAGTGGATTTGATTTCATTCGCTTCAATCTCAATTGTTTCTATGCGTTGACGATCTCACATATGACGGTAATCTTTTCATTCTGGGGTAAGCTGGGGGTACCTTTGTAACCAAACGATTCTAATAATATGATGGTTATCTACCTCCAAATACCCTTCTCTCTCGCCCCCTTCCATTCACATCCAACTGAGTGAATAGCGCTCTCTACTCACCCCCCACCCCCGAACGTATAGATACATATAGACGTATGTCCCTCCATTGTGCCAGATCGTGAGCTGGATCGTAGGCTGTACATAAAACTAAGCAGGCATGCACACATGTCTACAGATATCCGCTCACACACACACACACACATGCATATATTAAAAAGCGGGTCAGTGGTCTGCTGCGCATCTGTCCACAATGCCCACTCTCTCTGAATCAAAGGCACATGCACATTAGGCATCGGAGATTGTTTTGTTTACTTTGTTGTTCTGATATGCCCCATCGGATGGAACAGCTTGCTAACCACAGCCTGACTGTGTGGCTGATCGCATTGTGCGGACAAAGTGAATTTGTGTGTGTGTGTGTGTGTGTGTGTGTGTCCGTCTGCGTGTGCATTCACGAGTACAAATTAGAATCAGCCAATCGTTTAGATCGGATGGAAACTGTCATGTGCACTTTGCGGTACTTCAGTTCTCAGTCTCTCTCTCTCTCGGCTCCGTTCCGCGTTTGCTTCTTTTTTGGCGGGCTCAGTT